TGCATTAAACATTTTATAGCAACGTTGTCCGCTAGAATTGCAACTTGTCACATCATATGTTTAAAGACGATAAAGTCATAAAACAAGTCGCATTCCATGACAAGTAAATATGCCCAAAACGTAAATAAATATAAATAAATTTGTCGATGGCGATTAGTTATCTTAGTTGGGGTCGACGTTTCGATTTTGGGTTCAACTTTTTTTTGGCTCGATTCAGTTTTGATTTTTTAGTTTATAATAAAAAAGGAAACAATTCTGTTTTAAATTTTAGTACGATTTGGAAAAGATTGGTTTCGGTTCGGATTTGGTTCGGTTCAATATGAGAATGTAAATATTCTCTAATTCTCTTGCAGGTATAATTATCTACTTCTTTTCACTAATAATTTAAATTTCAAAATCTAAACAACAGGTCAATCGTACATATTTAAATTTCTCAATCTAAAATAAGTCCAAACCAAACAAACCTCTTCACATACGTATTCGTGTCGGACAACGTCGTAGACTCAACAACCCCAAGAGAAACATTAGAGACAGAGCAATTGTTAAATTTCAGGTTAGGAAATTCGGGATTTAGTGTGTGAATATATATATAGTCCGGATCAGGTGAGGATCTAATCTTAGGTGAGAACGTGAGGACTAATTTAGACCATTAAATCAGAATGATGTAATGCCTGAGATTAAAAGAAACAAATCATACGGATTAAAGAAACAAATCCCTTTAAAATATTAAAATATATAAATTTAAGGTAAATTAGTCTTATTAAAAGATGTGCATTCCTATACAAAATGTTGTGCATTTCTATACTGAGTGTTGTGCATCGATAACTTTATTGCTGTGCATTCAAACCCCGCCAAACAATCCTACAGTGGACATCTCAATGTCCTACGATGCACTAAACTATGTGCTATAATGCACAACTCTCTAGCCTATGGTGCACAACTTACAACACTAGGTTGCACAATCAGCACACACGAATGCACAATCGTACTACCTAGGCATTTTTACATATACACGACCATCCAAATATAGACAATATTATATTCAAAAGAAGGAGCAAAAAAAATAAAAAATACTGATTAGTAATAACTTATACCAAAGACTTGGAGGAGGTATAGATTTCATTGAATACGAGTGAAATATACAAATTGGGAACATGCACAAAAATTCAATTTTAAAACAAAACCCGGAGCTTGCGAGATATGGTTCTAAAATAAGTCTATAAATGCAATATGTAGATAATTTGCCTTGTTGATCCATTTATATATCATTAATTTAATTACTTGCTTCTCAGTTATTGCAAAATCTTGAGATACACTTATATTTTATTAATCAGTAAGTATAACAATATATTAGGGAGAAACTCACATGGAAGTCATGGAATAAGCACTTGATTGTTTGTTGGTTGACTGAAAATCGTTGATATTCTCTGGACAAATAACAACGCATCAAGCGGAGCCTTATAGAGCTTTTGCTCGTCTTGGGGATAGGTTGAAAGCAGAGATGAAAATAGACACCAATTACTAAACAATAAGGAAAAATAGCATAAATACCATAGAAGAATAGAAAATAATCAATGGTAAAATTGTTCAAGATTATGAGAGTATTTATAGTGCAATTTCAATATTATCATTTGTAGAAACAAGGATGATTTTGCAGATTCTCTGCGCAAATAATTAGTACGTGTGAAAATATTAAGGTTAGGAAAGTATTATATTTGCGATGGCATGTTTCATGTAGAATTGTATTAAGTTTAGAAAAGTATTTATAGTGTAATTTTAATCAATTTTATAATTTGGAGATTCTGTAAACTAATAAGTAGAATTGTAGTAGGATAGGAAGTATCTGTAATTTTAATATAAATTATTAATCACCAATTCTTTTCCATTTTTTCGCAAAATCTTCCTTATTATATTCATTAGATTAATAGTAAAGTAACGGTTTGTAATTTTAATCTAAATTATTAATAATCAATTTTTTCCTTTTTTTTTTGCACAATCCTCCTTATATTCATATTCATTAGATTAATTAGTAATTTTTCTGAACATTATGACTTCTCGAATTTCAGATCATTTTTCATTTTTTTTTTGACTGTTAACCTTCTTCTTCTTCTTCTTCTTCTTCTTCTTCTTCTTCTTATTATTATTATTATTATTATTATTATTATTATTATTATTATTATTATTATTATTATTATTATTATTATAAAGTGACTTACGGATTCTTTTTCATTTTCCCTTTTTATTGCTAACCTTATTATTATTATTATTATTATTATTAATTATTAATAAGTGAATTACGGATCCTTTGGGATAACAAAGGAGATTAAATACTATATTTAATTGGATTAAAGACTGTAATTATGGGATTAAAGGCTATGATTAATGGGATTAAGGTTCTAATTAATGGGATTTGAGGTTATGGAATTTAAAGATAATTAGGGAGACAGGCTGACTGATTATATCCCAAGCGTTAACTGTTGAGTTCGAGTGTCATGCTCGGTTGCATGCTAGGTGGTACCGACTGGTACCCATGTTGGGTATCCATCACTGAATTACGGATCCTTTTTCATTTTATTATTGTTGTTGTTGTTGTTGTTATAAAATAAGAGAAGTGAATGATAAAATTTTAGGAGGAAAGGAGTGTGGTGAAAAATTGAAGATGAGAAAATAAAGTTAAGATGGCAATAACCCTCCAACAAATCACTTTTGCAAAATTGAAAGTAAATATAAGACAACTGAAAATCTAAATTATTAAATGGAGTGGCTAAAAGTCAATATAATACAACTTTAAAATACAGTAATGCATGAAGAATGGAATTGTTATTATTCAGTCAATTTAATTTGGTCTAAGAGAATTTAAAAAAAAAAAAAAAAGTTTCTTTTCTATAGATCAGAATCATTTTGCATCAATATAGTGACAGAAAAAATGGTATGAGATGGCATGGAATAGTGAATCATATATCTTAATTGTTAATCTAAACTTCACTACAGATTGCCAAATGGAGTTATGATATTAGTATCCATTTCACTCGAGATTACCAAATGGAGTGTATGATATTTAATTGGACAGACCACTATATGCAAAATTTATCAAATTAAGGAATCGTGAAATGCAATTTTGAACTAATTCTTTTTTATTATTTTTATTTAACAATATTTTACTATTGGACATGATTTTTGTTCATCACACGTACGAAAATGTTTGTATATATGTAAATGGAACTACTCGTACCAGAAAGTTGAATTCGATTCTGGCCAATAGTCCCTGTAGGTCGACTCCGGGGTATTAAGTTTTCCTACTGTAATTTACATCTCCTGTGTGATTTCTAGGCTAAAGCTACTAAATAGGAGCGGGCTTCATCCAATAAAAAAATCGGTAGTAGCGGCAAATATTCCTTGTTACCCAGAAAAGGAAATTATTAGTGCCAAAAAAATTGAATTCATACAATATCATAGTTTAGAAAAAAGAAAATGTAATTTGTACATTAAACGGTCTAGAATTATTATAAAAAGTTATAGAGAAAAATGAATTTTTGATCCCTAAATTGTTCTTTGCTAGTCATTTTAGTCTCTAATTGTTTACTATTGCAATATACACTCGTGATTCTTTAAAAAAAAAAGTTATAAATTTTAACCCCTAAAGCAACAAAATTATTAAACTTTATTAAATTTTACTTAGTACATGCATATTTTAAAATTTTATTATCTTTATTCTTTATAACGGTTTCAGTTTTGGTATTTCATATGCAAAATAGAGAATTGACAACCTTCTTCTCTAAATTTTTATTCTTCAATTATGGTACATTGTCCATATTTTTTCTACACGAACCTGTTATAATCGTTTTTTTATTATTATTTTATAAATAAAATATCAAGACTAAATTAAAGAAGATTATAATTTAAAAAAAATTAAAAGTACTAAAATACCCTTGTACTAGATAGAATTTTAATTGAGTTATAGTTTGTTTCCTAATGGATTAAAATTGTAATGGGCTGTTTGGTTCACGGAATAGGCCTGGAATGGCATAGCATTCCCAGTAATAGGTCTATTCCTCTGGTAACCACTTGTATTCCCAGGAACATTGTTCCCGGGAATGACCTATTCCCCTTGCAAGGCAATAGAGATTCCTAGGGGGGCCCTGGTATTAGGCTATTCCTGAGTTCTCAGGAATAGTCTAAAGTTTCTATTTTCTATTTTACCCTCCAATTAAATTTATTTTCTATTTCACCACCATCGCCACTACCGCCGCCACCACCACCATCACCACCACCGTCGCCGCCGCCTCCACCACCACTACCACTACCACTACCACTACCACTATAGCCACCACCACCGCCACCGCCACTACCCCGGCAGCATCGCCACCACTGCAACAATCGCCGCCGCCACCGCCACCATCACCACCATCGCCGCCGCCACCACCACCACCATCGCCACCATCACATATTTTTATAAGGGTATTTCTGTAAAATAGTGGTAGATAGAGAAATACTTCATATAAATTGAGCCAAAAAACATCGCCACCATCGCCACAATCACATATTTTTATAAGGGTATTTATGTCTTTTAAAACATATTTCATTTCTATTCCTTAAGTCAACCAAACACTGCAATATAATTCCTAAAGTCTATTCCTTCCGCGAACCAAACAATAGAGTAGAATTCCTATTCTATTCCTTGCATATTCCATTCCTTATGGAATAATATTCCTATTACCTCAAAATTCATTCCGTGAACCAAACGTTTTGTAATTGTTTGAAGAGTTAGTGGTGTGTATTGTAATGGTAAACAATTAAGGGCTAAAACGGCTAACAATGAGCAATTGAGAAAAAAGTATTTTTAATTTAAAAAATTATGATATATTGTTTAAAAGATATAACAATATGTCATCATTTAAATCCAAATAGGTACTTGAAGAAAACTTTGTTGATATCTCCAGAGGTGCTAGGGTTTTTTGTCAGTATTACCCACATCCCATCCTCTTTTTAACCCTCTTTGGCAAAAGTTATTTTTTCACATCACCTTCAATTGCAACCTATCTATATCATTAAATGGAACACTATTATTAGCATATCTATGGCTGCTCACCTTGGCCTTGCTTCCCTATCCCATTCCCAACTCCAAAATTTTGCTCAATCTCACCACATCCCAGCGCCGCCGTCGCCACCGCCGGATTCCGCCTCGACGGTTGGATACTGGATGTGGAACCCTAGAAACACGGCGGCGGAGGAGGAAGAGGAGGACGATTCTTGGGAGATTAAAGCGTTTGAAGAGGACACTAGCAATGCTACATGGCCGCCGAGGTCTTACCCCTGCACCTTTTGCCGGCGGGAGTTCCGCTCCGCCCAAGCCCTCGGCGGCCACATGAACGTCCACCGCCGGGAACGTGCTCGCCTCCAACTCCCCACCACCACAAGCGCCGGCCTTTGCCGCCTCCTCTACTCCTTGCCACCAAACCCTAACGGCGGCGCCGCCTTCTCTCCCGCCTACACGAAACCTTCCGCAAATTCTTCCCCGCGCCTTCTCTCCGTTTCGCCTTTCACGACTAATAGTTTTCCGGCGACGCCTCCGTGCCGTATAACCTCACCTCTCCACCCATCTGTCTCCGATGACAACACCAACATCAAAAATTACCGTTTTGGGACTCAAAGGAGAGAGCCCGCCATTGTAGAGGAGCTAGATCTCGAGCTTCGGCTTGGATGCAGCTCATCATCACCATGACAGGCAAATAATAATAACATATATATATATATATATATATATATATATATATATATATATATATATATATATATATATATATATATATATATATATATATATATATATATATATATATATATATATATATAATCTGCTATATATAAATATATTGTTTATGTGTATGGCATGCTTTTTCTTTCCTTGATTTTCAACCTTATTGTGACGATTTTGTTTACAGATTGATTAATTCATTCTGCTTGAACTGGGATTAAACCTGGACATGTTTTTAGACTTTTTGCCTTTTAGTGATGGAGAGTCATTTTTGTAAATTGAATTAAATGAAGGGTTATATGATTAGATATTAATTAAGTTGAATTAATAAAAATAAAATAAAATAAAAAACCTAAAATTTCACCAGTGTTTTTATTATATTTAATAAAGTAAAGAATAGAATTATTTAATTTGTATGGACTTTCTGTATTAATTGTTATCATCAAACGCTTATCACTACGTCATTATATTACATTTTCGAGAGGCAGGGCGCTAAACTTCAACCTCCATTGGCCTCTACCCAACAAATTCTCTAGCTACCAATTGATTGACTTTGACCATTTTCCAACTTCCACTCAAGACCATAGAATGCATACTACAAAGTATTATCAGTACTACCTGTCATAATAGAGCTTTTGAACAACTTAAAAAATCTATTTGTGTTTCAATAGGTTGAAAAAGTATGTATGGACAGATACTACATTGTAATAGAGTCCGTAGTATTTAAAAAAAAAAAGTTGAACTAAAATTAAAAAAAAAAATAATTTTCACCTTGGTACTTTTATCAGTTTATGTTTAATACAATAGAGAATAAAATTATATTTTATAAATTTTTCTGGGTCAATGCATACTATGGAATATTATTAGCACCCGTGATAATAGTATAAACTCTTTACTTTTCAAAAAAAAAATATGATAGAAAAATCTCTTGTTTTTATATACTCCGTAATTTTTTGAAAAATTGTGGTAATGATGATGCTGAAAGTGATGAAGAAAGAAGAATTATAGAGTAGCTATGGGTGGAGTACTATACTATTGATAAGGGGTTTGCAGTGCAGTGTCATTTTCGTGTTGTGGATTTCTAAGCAAAATTTAAAGTTATAGGCATACATTTCCGTGGGGATTATTGTATCTGTCATGCTGCTCTATTCTAATATGTAGCTCTGCTCATATTAAATTATTATGGGGAAAAGAGGTTGTCTTTTTTTTCTTTTCTTTTCTTCTTTTATTTTGTTAAAGAAACTAGTTCTAAATATGGTATTCTATGCTATTATCTTTAGAGAGAGAAAAAAAAAAAAAAACTTAGTACTAGATGTCTAGATTACAAGTATAAATTTGTAGAGAGTTAAGGCAATATCATTTGTATTTAATTTTACCTTATCCGACAAGCAATCCAAGGTTAGCTGACACAATCGATTCGTTAGTTTATAATATTTTAGACTAAATAATAAAGCAGATTACTAATATCATCAATTAAGGGTCAAAGTACCAATGGTGTTTTGTTCAATTTAGTTTTTGTACCTTTGTTCTGTTCAATTTAGTCTCTCTATTTTAAAAAGTGGTGAAACTAAGGACGATTGTCCAAATCTCTTTAGAAATATGGTTGTAATTATTTATTTTGGACATATTAATTTAATATATTGGTGGTAAACATAATTAATTTTAAATATTTATAAAGTAGTATGAGTAGGAATATAAACATCCCTCAGCGCCACATACCCTAAGTTAACGGTAATATTAACATTGTTAACTGTTGTCCTTAATTGCACCACTTTTGAAAGTACAAGGATTAAATTGAACAATATAAATGTATAAGGACTAAATTGAACAAAACGCAATAGTACATGGACCTAGTAGGTACTTTGACCCAAATTAAGCGCATACTCAACGGATAAAAATTAGACAAGTATTCCGAATTTAATAAAAAATAAATGTAACATCAGAAAGAAGGTACATTAAAATTGGTATAATCTGTAAGTTAATATATTTGGACAAATTAAAAACTCCTATGAAATCGTATAATTGATAATCATTTGTGAGATGAGTCAAAATCCTTCTAAGTATCACACTTTTTTTCGTAAGTATTACATCTTCCATTCAAGTAATAATCAACTAATTTATTAGTGATTAGTATTGCACTTTTTTCTCATAAGTAACAATCAATTTATCTTCGATGTGTTTTACAATTTTCCTCATAAGTAACTTTTCAAAGCCTAAATATTATATTTTGATTTTAAAATTTTACATTATTTTTCAAAAGTAGTATTACATTTTTCTTCACAGGAAATCAACATTTTAGTCTTTCAATTATTTTCCAACTATCAATCCCCCATAGTTTTCAATTTCAACAAATTTAATCATCGAATTGTTTAAAATTTCGTCAATTAAACCCTTTCAGGGACAAAATTTTAAAAGTGTGGAAATCTCCATTTTGGTTCCTGAAATGGTTTAATTGACGAAATTCTAAACAATTCGAGGATCAAATTAATTGGAATTGAAAACTATGGACTACATTAACAGTTGGAAAACAATTGAGGGGCCAAAATGGTGATTAACTCTTTTTCTTATAAGTAACAATCCATTTATTCATTATTGTTGAGCATATAACCATTAATGTGCAATCCAGCTATCAGTTTAAGCTTTTAGTTGAGATGGAGCACATGCTTCAATTTGGTATCAGAGTCATGCTAAAGGTCATGGGTTCAAACAAATCTTAGCTCCACGTGTTGGGTTCGAATCTCAGTTCCACGTGTTTCTTGGAGCCCATCAAAAGTAACGGCCCGCACGCGTGTTGAGCATATAAGCTTTTAGTTGAGATGGAACACATGCTTCAATTATTATTAGTATTACATTTTCCATTCTTAATAACAATCAATCAATTTATCCATATCTAATATGACATATTTTTCTCATAAGAAACCCTTCAACGCCGAAATATTATATTATGATTTAAAAGTATTATATATATATATTTAAAAATATTAAATTTTATCTCATAAATAACAATCAATTTATCTCCAAAGAGTATTACTCTTCCCATCATAAGAATTACACTTTTTATCTAGACCCGACTCATCTCACAAAAAATCACCCTTTTAATAATACGAGTATAAGAAGTCAAGAACTAAAGCAACCAATTTTTTAGTATTAGAAATAAATAAAAAACATTTTGCATTAGTTCAAAGACTAATGCAATATTTAAACATATTTAGGGTGTGTTTGGTTCATGGGTTTGCACACCAGGAATGTTAATCAAAATCATAGTTATTGTTTGATTGACAATTTTTTAAAACACAACTATGAGATTTGATTACATTTTTAATTAAAAATCATATCTCCTAATTAAAAACGGGTATCATTTCATCTTATTCCTCTCTAATTTTTTTTTTTTTTTTTTTTTGAAATGAAAACCATAACTTCATTAAATCAAGTGTTCAATACAGGAAGGAATAGAAGAAATCCAAATAGAATGACCAGTTTGAGAACGAGCAGCCCTTGTCAAAGCATGAACAGAATTATTCACTGATCTAGGAATAAACTTAGATCCTTAAAAAAAATAATAATTAAAGGACATTACTTCAAAGTGTTTTTGATAACTTTTGTACTCATTGATCACACAGCTACATAGGAGAAATTAGTCAAGAACCCATTAATTAAATTGCACAATGCCTGACAATTCGAGAGAACCAATACATTGACAAATCCTCCTCTCTAATTAAAAACACAATTATGGGATTTGTTTTGATTTTTTGTTTTTATTAGTGTTTTGAATTTCATTATATTATGATCAATTGTCTTGATTTTTTGTTTTTGTATTTTCAAAACTTTTATCCCAAAGTTATACATAACCAAACATCAATATTACTAATCATTTCAATTCTATCCCTATTACCAAACATGTAAAATACTTTTACCAAAACCTATTATTATTACCAAGTATTTAATTTCCATTCTGATTCAGATTCAAATTCAGATTCAGATTCAATTCCCATATGGGAACTAAACACACCCTTAGTCATCAAGAAAAGAAACTATGACAAGCTTTCCTTCTCCTTTTATTCTTATCTCTCACCACCGGCCAAAGATAGGGTGTTGTCTCTTGCCAAATCATAATTCAGAAGGAGGTAGTTGGCTTCGTGTCCTTTTACTTTATTGTTTTTTTTTATTTTTATTTAAAATTTGTTTTCTACGGTTTTCTTCGACTTTCCTGGCGATGATGAGAAACATTGGGGGTGTGGTTAACAGGGTCAGGGTGTTTTTTTTTTTTTTTTTTTTTTTTGAAAAGCTATTGGCTCTATTACATTGTAGTATCTGTTCATATACTTTCTCAACCTACTGAAACACAAAGAACCAATAACGCCTCCACTAAGACTCGAACAGGATCAGGGTGTTAAGAATAATGATATTTAGATTTTAATAATGTTAATAATTTGTAAAGATAAGTATTTTAAAATTTTAAAATTTTGTTACAATTATTGTTGAACAGATACTAACTTGTAAAGAATTATGAGTATTTAAAAAAAAAAAATTGTTGCAATTATTGTTTTTTTTTTTTTTTGTTGTTGTAAATATTGTTTTGATGGGATTAATTGTAAAGGTCAAATTAGGATTTAGTATCTTCATTCAAAGTTCTTTATAGGATATTTTGATCGAAAGATCCCATGAGGCATGAGCATAAGATCTTGTTACAATAGATATCTAACTTTGATAGAAGTTATCTAGAAAATCCTAAAACAGACAATAGTAGAAATTATTATATATAGTAGAACATGACAGATCATTCGATAGAACCTTTCAGCAGAAGGACATTTCCAATAAATAATCAAGTAATCTCAATTCAACAGAAGATCTATCAATTTGGCTAAGTATAAGAGCTATCCAACGGAAAACCTTAATGATGGATTTAATTATCCGGATAATCCCAATCACTAAACCCGATAAAGAACGTATATAGGAAATAGATATGTAAAAAGAATAAAACGATGTCGTAAGGTCGCAAGGACCGGATATTGTATTAAATAACTATAAACGAGCTATTACAAGGTGAATGTAACGCTATTATAACTGTAGATTAGGACAAAATAGATAGAGTTTGTAAGAAAAATGTGTAGTGTCCTCATGGGACAAAATATGGGACATGAAATAAACCCCCAACCGCCCTATCTAAACTGGGGGCGGTTGCATTTCCGCGTTGACCGCGTCTCGGCTTGGAACCGGGTCCG